TTTTCGTCATAGTCTGGCGACATCATCATCATCATCATCATCATCGTCCATGCTTGTTCTGAGAACCAGATTTGGAAACCATGATCCCAAAGTCCTGCTCCCGACACCCCTCTTTCTGCTCAACCAGATTTGCAAAAGAAAGAAAGGAATATCTGGGAGAATTTAGATCAAAATCAATTTTATTTTGTTTTTTACTGATTGGTTGATTTAGAGAGAGGGAGAGAGAGAGAGAGAGAGAGAGAGAGAGAGAGAGAGAGAGAGAGAGAGAGAGAGATTTGTTGTTCCACTTATTTATGCATTCATTAGTTGGTTCTTGTATGTCCCTGACCTTGGGGTATGGGGACATGCTCTAACCAGCTGAGCTACCCGGCCAGGGCTGTCAAAGCAACTTTAAAATGGCCTCAGTGTCTCCATAAAGATAAGCAGGCCAGCAGCATCATCACTGCTCATAATGGGGCGCAGGCAGGATCTCTGCCCAGGGCTGTGGGCCAGAGCTGGGACTTACTCCTTGTTGAGCAGTCAGAGGTAGGCAGGCAGGCAGGCAGGCAGGTGGCTGGCTCCCCTCAGATCCTTGGCGTGTGAGGAGGACTCTGGGAGCACTGATCTGGGAAGACAGTGAGCATGCAAGGCCCTCTCCCGGTGGGGACGGGCTGCTTTTCTAATGTCCCCCTGGTCCTCAGAGAGCGGGAATGAGGGAGAGAGGGGAGCCCTTCATTGGGTGTGGAGGAGGAATGAGATGCGAAGTTGGTGCTGGGCCCAGAGAACGCTCTCAGTAAATACAGTGAATGATGTGTGGGGTAGTTTATGGTGGGTTTAGCGCGAGCCAGACAAGTCTAAATTCTGGTTCCACCACTACCTCTGTGCTTCAGGGAACTCCTTCAGTGGCCCTAAACCTCAAGGTCACAAAGTGCGTGTACCGAGCAGGTGTCCTCTTTAAAAATAGCGGAGGCCATACTCCCACCAGTTTAGAAAAAAAAAAAATTTTTTTTCTAGCTCTGGGACTCCTACTGCTGGGAGGAGTCCGATGGCAAAAGCTGGGACCTTGGAGCAGCATTCCACGTCTCCAAGACTATCTTCTCCTGGTCTGGGCCTGGCCTCTGCCGACCGGCTCTGTCCTCGTGGGGAGGAGGGTGGCCATTTGCAGCTCAGGTTTGGAAACGTGGTGTCTCTCTCTCTCTCCCTCTCTCTCTCTCTCTCTCTCTCTCTCTCTCTCTCTCTCTCTCTCTCTCTCTCTCCCCAGAACTAGGTCACATGCCTGGTCCAATGGAGGGAGAAGTGGGTGGTGTTCCCAGGAAGAGGGGAATGGGAAATCAGCCGGGCAAACAGAACAACCACCACAGCACCTGTAACACCTAGAGGCTGCACGTATGTGTGTTGTGTCGGGGAAGCCCAGTCCGGAGGAGCCCCTGAACGTGGCGTACGCAGGTGGGGCCAGAGCCAGGCTTGGCCTGTTCGCAGTTAGCATAATTACTAGGTTCGAGTCATTTGGCTCCACTAGAGATATGTCAGGCTCTGAGTTAGACTAAGGGCATCTCATATATACCTTGTCTCGTTTTCACAACAACCCTAAGAAACAGGTATTATTAGCCCCATTTTCAAGTGAACAACAGAGGTTAAGCTCAGGCCAGCCGTGAGTGACTGAGGCAGATTCAAGCTTGGGTCCTTTGGTCTCCAGAGCCTGGGTTTTCCCCAAGGTCAGGCTGCCTCTTTGGAAACCAAAGCTGAAAGCTTGCTTGAGGGTTGCACTGAGCACACTCTGGCCCAGCAGGTGTGGTCTTCAGGGTAGGTGACCATGGCTCCATGGCCATCCTGCTACATGCTTCCTCGGTTCTGTCCTTCCCAGCCAACTGAGACAGGTATGCAGCTGAGTGATATATGGTTTCTTCACCCAGTCCAACACTTGATCCCCCACCCACCCAGTTGGTGACCCTGTTTAGACTTTTCTAGAGTTTGGCCTGCAGGGTGAGAGGAAATGGGAATGAGATGTTCGGAGGGGCACTGGCCTGGCAAACAAGCCGAGGGGTGTCATCTCTCACCCAGATCAGAGCTATCTGCAGCTGCTGACTGTCCTCCGGCCTCTCTGCTGCCCTCAGCCCGTCAGCACCTCACAGCTAGAGCAATCCTCATGAAACACCCTCCCCCGCAGCCAGCCCTGCTCAGGGCCTCACTGGCTCCCTGGGCCCACACTCGTCAGGGAGGCCTCCCAGGCTCCTCCAGACCTACCCTCCTGCCACCCCTTCTCCCCCCACAGCTTTCTCGCCCACCGCTGCCCCTCCCTCACACTTGGGAAGGCAACACACTTGGAAAAATAGGAGAGCACAAACCATAGGTGGTTATTTAGATTAATTACAGTGTTGTTAAAAATTCATTTCCTCAGTCACAGTCGTCACATTTCAAGCGCTTGATAACCTCTGTGGTCACCATACGGAGGTGGACGTAGAATGCCCCCGTCATCACAGGAACTTGTGCTGCACAGCACTGGCCTCCGCCTTTCTCTACGGAGAAAAGCCTAATCAAGGGATGCTATCGGCTTTAGAGGGACTAGGAGTACACTCGACCTATTCTGTGACCTATTCTGTGGCTCCGCAGATATCCGGCCTGGGGACACAGCAGGGGAGCAGGAGGAGTTGGTCCTGGCCTGGGGACACAGCAGGGGAGCAGGAGGAGTTGGTCCTTTCCTGGAAGTGGAAAAGCCGTGGCCAGGGAGTGTGGGAAGTGCCTGTGCCCAGAGGGGGGAGGGGGCGGGGGGGGGCATGAAGGCTTCCTGGAAAGGTGGACACCTGAGCGCAGGATGCAGACTGAGGAGGCAGGAGCGAGGTGGCACTCTCCAGACCATTGGGGTCCCTTTGGCATTCACTGTCCCCACTGCCTGCCTGCTCCGTCTCTCTTGTTCACCTAGCCCGGACCAAATGGGTCCCTGAGGGCCACCTCACCCGGGTCAGGCTGGGGCAGCGGCGGTGAGGAAGCTGCAGAGGCGGGTGGCTGTCTGGGGGTCGCTTATCAACACTCCCCCCCAGCTTCTGGCGCAGCCCCCAGCTGCCATCCCCTCCCTGGCCGGTGCCAGCTGGCTGCCCCATGCTGCCCCTCCTCCGAGTGTCCTGTAGGAAACTGCACCCCTGCAGCGACTGGAAAGTGGCCGTCCGTGGGCCCAATTCACCGCCTTATTTGGAAGAGGAGCGAGCGCGCTGCCCAGCGGGCCCTGGGTGGACAGTCCTGTCGCTTTAGGCGGAAAGCCTCGCCCTGGGGTAGCCGGGAGGGCCTGTCCTCACCCCATCACAGAATCATCGGGGTAATTAATGTGCAGGAGCCACGGGGAACACAGCGGCCCCTGCATTGCCCCTCGCTCCGCGCCTCGCAGGAGCACTGCGCTCCCCGCCCGCGCTTCCCGGGCGCCGGGCCCCCGGCTTTCCGGGGTCCCGCACCCCGTGGCGGTCGGGAGGCAGAGCCCCAGGCCGCCGTGGGCAGAGGGCGCGGCCCGATGAGCCAGCCGGAGCGGGGCGGCTCTGAGCGCCTTTGTTTCCGCGGAGTCACAGTCACATGCGCTTCCGGCACCGCGTGTTCCCGGCCCCGCGCCAGGCGCGCCCCCGCCGCCTCCCGCCCCTCCCGGAGCCCCGGCCCCGGAGCCCGCCCCTCCCGGAGCCCCGGCCCCGGAGACCCCGCCGTCGCCCACCCCTCCCGGAGCCCCCGCCCGTCCCTCCCGGAGCCCCGGCCCCGCCGTGGAGCCAAGCTCTTCCCTCCCAGGCCCGGGAGCTCAGGACCCGGGGTTTCCTGGTCCGCCCGTCTCCCTGCGGGGAGCAGAGTGGACAAGTACTGAACGCCATTCTGATCACTTAGGGAGCCGCAGAGGCAACACCGAGCCTCGCTCCCTGCCCTCTCCCGCCACCAACCAGAGCTAAACAAAGCCAGCCCAGCCACCTGGGGGCTGGCTCCCTGTCCCTCCACACAGACCATCTAAGGGCAGAGGTCCTGTCAGGGTGCAGCAGTGGGGGCTGGCCACGCCGCTCTGTGGCTGCCAGGCCCGGTCTGTGCCCTGGGACACCTGAGAACTCCGAGCCTCACCAAGGCCACCTCTGCTTCGCTAAGCAAATTCAAGATTTTTAAAATATATATATATATTATTGATTTTTTTTACAGAAAGGAAAAGAGAGGGACAGAGAGTTAGAAACATCCATGGGAGAGAATCATCGATCAGCTGTCTCCTGCACTCCCCCCGCCCCCCCCACTGGGGATGTGCCTGCAACCAAGGTAGATGCCCTTTGACCAGAATTGAACCTGGGACCTTTCAGTCTGCAGGCCCACGCTCTATCACTGAGCCAAACCTGTTTCGGCAAATTCAAGAATTTATTCAACAAATATTTATTATAATTATCTTAAACATATTTTTATTGATTTCAGAGAGGGAGAGATAGAAACATCAGTGATAAAGAGAGAATCATTGATTGGCTGCCTCCTCCACACCTCCTACTGGGGATGAGCCCGAAACCCCAGGCATGTGCCCTTGACCGGAATCCAACCATCTGCAGGCCAACGCTCTATCCACTGAGCCAAACCAGCTAGGGTTCAACAAATATTTATTGAGAGCAAAATAGTGCAGGGCAACCAAGTCCCCCCAGAAGCCAGCCCTGTGGTAAGCCCCCCAGAGGAATCTCTTTGTCCCCGCAGTGCCCGGCTGTCCCCAACAGGCTCAGTTCCCTTCATCAGAGCAGCTTGGGAGTCCTAGTCACAGGCTGGCCACGGCCATCCTGGGGGCTGGGACTGGGGCCTGCCTGACCCTGCCTCCCGGCCTCAGAGAGGCAGAGAGCACAGGGCCAGCCTCTGGGGGAGCGTGGCATGGCGTCTTGGGACCCTTTCTGATTCTGGGCAACCTTTCCCGATGCCTCTCATCTGGGCTGGCAGAGCCTGGGACAAGGGAGGAGGAGGGCGGGGGGAGAGGGGAGAGAGGGAGACAACCCAAGGTGGACAGAAGGTGGGGCAAGGAGCAACCGATGGGGCCAGCGGAGGGTGTGGGCGTCGCTGGCTGTCAGGGCTTGGTGGGGAAGAGCAGACAGGTGAGTTGCCGGCTGCCACTGTGTCTGTCCATGAGGGGCAGGGGCTGCTGCATGTAGTGCTGGACCATGGCCGCCACGGAGGAGAAGCGCTGCGGAGAGGCGGGCACCAGTGAGGCCCTGGGGCTCATGCCGGGAGAGCCGTCCTGAGGGGACTGCCGGCCTCTGGGGAGGGGGCTTGTTGACGTTTTTAAAAAGCACGTTCCTTCCCGTTTGTCTCATGAGGCTCCCCTGCCATTTTGTTGCCCGATTCCAGGCCCTGCACAACGTTCCTGTGACTACACGCATGGGCATGCTGTTGGCCACATCGTATTTCCAAGGCCAGATGGCAATACCTCTGGGGACCTGCCCCTGGCCTCCCTCATGCCAGCCGAGTGGCGGGTGACTGTCTCTAGTTTGCCTGAGCCCTGCCTCCTCCCAGCCGGTTCACTACCCCGCCCCCCCCGCCCCCCCTCCCCCGGGGCTCCCGTGCAGCCTGAGACAAACAGGGGGCAGGGCCTCCCCCCGAGGGAGGTGGGCCTCTGGGAAGGTCCCTGGCCGTTGTCATTTGCACCCAAAGGAGAATTCCCCAGGCAGATCCTCCTGGCGGGGCCCAGGGCACTTCTCTGCTGTGACCTTGTTGCCCTTAGGACCCGTGCCCCTCCCCTCAGCACCCACCTCCTCATGGCTCCTGCCCTCCCGGCCCAGGGCGTAGTGGCGCCCGCCATCCAGCCGCCGGATGGGGATGTTGAAGACCCGGCCGTGGAGCAGCACCGCCAGGGTGAGGGGCTGCGAGCCGCGAGGCCCCGAGCTGGGGCGCACAGTGTAGGCCCCGTCCTGCGGAGGAGACCGGACCATCAGCCTCGCCTGCCCGCCGTCCACCTGCAGCCCTGACCCTCCCCCTGCAGTCCCCGCCTGCTCAGCCCCACAGCCCGTGAGCGGAAGGGGTTTCTGAGAGGCCCCGGGGGGCTCTGCCCACCTTTTGGCATCGGAGCAGGGCACTCTCGACAGCATGGCGGTCACAGTTCTCCGAGTACCACGGCTGACCCAGCAGGCTGCCGTCCTGCACACACACGTGTATACACACACACATACACACACGCTCAGAGATGTGTGTGTTGGGGCACTGGGTGGGGGTGGGGAGCAGAGAACCCCGTGGGGAGTGATTTGTGTTCGCAGCTGCCTTCCCAGGCTGAGCCTGTGCAAGCTGAACACAGATACGCCGGTGCCGGCACCCAGCCCCATGCCACACGCGCGTGCTCCTGCCATGGTGGGCACCAGCCGCCCTCTCCCAGCCCCTCCTCACCTCCGCTGCGGAGCCTCTTCCGGTGGGGGCTGCGGGGGCCAGAGAGGAGCTCCTTCCTGCTGGGAGCAGAGTGCAGGGCTGGGCTGGGAGGGTTAGACAAAGGCGGTGTGGAGCACAGCTGCAGGGGTGGAGGAGGCTGCAGGGGGGTGTGCTGAGGGCTGAAACCCTCCTCTCCTCTCCTCTCCTCTCTCGGGCTCTGTTGGGACCCACCAGGGAGGCCACAGGTGACATCCAATCGAGGGGCGATCTGGAGGGACACGCTGGTAGCTTCCTGCTTTGACGCAGGCCCTGGGAAAAGGCCGCTGGAAGCAGAGCTGTGGGGACCCCCTCAGCAAAGCGGGGTGTGCCGGGCTGCGGCTGGGAAGGGCCGGGCAGGACTCCTGGGTTCTCACTGAAGGTGCCTGTACTCACCTTTGGAGGTGGCGTTCACTGCTCCCTGGGACATAGGAGGGCTGGTCAGGAGAGATTTGGCTTCTCTGGCCTGAGGTCCCACCCCGAGCCTCCCTCCCTCCCAGCTCACACCCCCCAGAGCAGCAGCCTCTTACACCCTGAGCTTCCTGGGGGGCCACGGGGGGCCTGTGGGGAGAAAGTTGGGAAACAGAGCTCAGGGGCTTTACTTCCTTCAAAACGAAAGGCCCAGGCGACCCAGAGGTCCCAGGGCCAGGGCTGGGGAAGCCTGAGTGCACCTCTCTCTCTCTCAGGCACACACACGCACACGCACAGGCGCATGTGCACACACGGACACATGTGCACACACACACACCCTGGTAGGCACTCACCTGGGCACTGTCGATATCCTTGGCAGAGGGGCTGGGGGCGTCAGGGCTTGGGAGCTCAGAGCCTGAGGCCGGGCAGGGGCTGAAAGAGCGGGCAGGCTGCTGGGCTGGGAACAGGCCCGGAGGGCTGGCCACGCAGGGCCTGCTTCTCCCAGGGCCTCTCTGGGAAGCCGTCCAGCCAGGCGGCCGCTGGGGAGCCCACACACAGCGCTGCTCTGCTGGGCCCTCCCTGTGGTCACAGCGGGCCAACCTGCACCAACGGTGGAAGCCTGTGTGTCCCTGTGTGTGTGTCCCTGTGTGTGTCTGTGTGTGTGTCCGTGTGTGTGTTCCTGTGTGTCCCCGTGCGTGTCCCCGTGCGTGTCCCTGTGTGTGTCCGTGTGCGTGTCCCTGTGTGTCCCTGTGTCCGTGTGCATGTCCGTGTGCGTGTCAGTGTCCCTGTGCGTGTCCCTGTGTGTGTCCATGTGTGCGTGTCCCTGTGTGTGTTCCTGTGTGTGTGTGTCCCTGTGTGTGTCCCTGTGTGTCCCTGTGCGTGTCCCCGTGCGTGTCCCTGTGCGTGTCCCTGTGCGTGTCCCTGTGTGTGTTCCTGTGTGTGTGTGTCCCTGTGTGTGTCCCTGTGTGTCTGAGGCAAACGGGGGTGAGAAGACAGGGGGGAGGAGCTGGGCCTCAGCGGCTGGGCCGGGGAGCAGGGAGGTGCTCACCTGGACTGGGCTCACACTCCAGGTAGAGGTCCTCCTCACACGGCTGCACGGAGCCTGGCACCTGACAGAGAGGCTGTGTGGGCCCGGGTGGGACAGGGAGGGAGGGAGGGCAGAGCATCCCTGGGCGGGGGGACTATTGGCTCCTCACTTCCCTCACAAGGCGAGCCTCTCTCTGGGGGCCAGCTGGAATGATTAACATTGCTCCTTTGCCTGGAAGGGGACCCCCTACAGGCCAAGCTCTCAGAGGACGGGGTGACCAGGAGGAGCTGTGGCGAGGCCCTTCCTCGTAGCTCTGAGTAGCACCCTCAGGACCACTGTGGCCCACAGGGAGGGAGTCAGCTCTGGGCCTTTTCCCTCGGTTTTAGGGACATTTCCTGGCCGTCCCCGGGCACTCCACCCCAACCCTGCCAGCTTCTTAGCGAGAGGGGTGTGGGGAGGGAGGGGCTGCTCACCGCCGGGGCTGGTGCGCTCAGCTCTGAGGGGAAAGGAGAGGACACCAGTCAGAGGAGGGAGAGAGGGATGGCGGGACACCTCGGCTGGGGCTTCTCGGAGGGTGTCCTCGGAGCCACACCCCCCCGGGCAAAGTGTGTGTGTCCCCCCTCCCCCCCACGTTGCCTCTCTTCACAGCCCAGGCTGTCAGCTGACTTGACCTCCCAACCCATTCGCCAGGCTTGGCTCCAAAGGACACTGGGCTGTTCCAAAAATTGGAACCCCTCAAGGTCACGAAGGTTTACCCACCCTGAGCCCGTAGAAGTGCCAGTCACTGTGTCTGACCTCGGGCAGGAGGCTGCCCGCCTGGGGCCACTTTCAGACAAAAAACACTGGCCGAGGCCCCTCTGACAGCCAGGTCCTATTGCCACCTCTGGGTCCCAGGCCCACGGGCAGTGAGCTTGGGGGAAAGTTCCTGGGCAGAGGTGGCAATAGGACATGAATAGAGTCAGAGACTGCTGGCCGAAGGCCCTCTGACGGGGGATGGCATTCGTGTGTCTCCTCAGCAGAGGAGGCCACAGCGGGTGTGGGCTCAGCGCCTGTGTGATCTCAGGCAAAGCGTTTCGTGTCTGGGACCTCAGTCTCCTCAACGGCCTGCCTTCGCGGTCGGCAGGTGAGAACGGGGACAGCGGGGGAAGGGCAGTGACCAGGGCCATCATGAGACCGCTGGACGGCAGCTGACTCTCCCCCTGTGGGGCCGGATGGCCCTTCTCAGGGCAGGGGAGTGCGGGGAGGGGGGGAGGGGGAGGCCCCCCAGAAGGAGAGAGGACACTCCCTTTACCTCGCCTCCCGGAGGCTTGGCCCTGCATCATGGCCTCCCGCAGGCTCCGGGCTGCCATCAGCTGTGGACACAGAAGCGGGGAGGGAGGACCGTGGGCGAGGGTGGGGGGTGGGAGGGGAAATCGAGGCATGGGGAGGACAAGGATGCCAGGCCAATGTGGATCTGTGCCGCTTAGAAAACCCTGCAGCCCAGAGCTGTTAGTGTACAGAGGGGGCTGCTCTTCCCTGCGCCTGCCTCCATGCCGAGGCTCTGTCTTTGTTGTCAGCCTCTCCCAGTTTTCCTTTTGATTCCCACAAAGTATGTGCTGAAAGCGGCAGCTTTCAAAGTCCCTAGCGGGATCTGGAGAGCTGGCAGCGCCGGGCAGCTGAGCTGGGGTTTCGTTCCTCTCTGGCAGGGAGGGGTCCTCAGGCCCCAGGGCCCAGGGAGGGGGACAGCGCCCCGTCTCCCCCACACACACCCCTCTCCCCGGCGGGGTCCTGGGTGGGGCTGGCTGGGAGGTGGGAGGGCCAGGCAGGTGGGAGAGGCGGCTGCTCACAGGGCGTGGGCTTCTGATGCCTCTTATTTGTTAGGGGCCTCTGGAGGGCAGATGTGGGGGAATCTTGCAAATGAGATGCCTCTTAAGTTTGTTCGCTGGGAAATGGGAGCCTGGGATGGGGCGGTGGGGTGGGGTGGGAGGGAAGGAGGGTCTGGGGGAGGCTGTTCACCATCGCGGGCTGGGGCAGGGCCTGGGGCTGGGGCTGCGGTGGCGGCAGAGACTCGGATGGGCCGCGGGGGCCTGAGTGATCTGGAACAGACACAGCATGGAATCTCTAGGTTCCTCCCGTGTGGGTTCCCATTTCCCTCCCGTCCCCACCTAGCCTCTGTTCCTCCTCCTCCCTCCCTGCCCTCCCAGCTCCATGCTTTCCCGACAGCCCCGTCTCCATGGCAACTGAAGGTGGCCAGCTTCCCTGCCCCCACCCGGCCCAGCCCGGAGGGGCCTGTGGGTGGGATGACAGGGGGTTCTCCCGGCGCCCCTGCCCTGGCCCGGGGATTGCTGGGATCTCAGAGCCGGGGAAGGCCGGGCCCCAGGGACCAAGTCAGGCCTCAGGCCTCCTGCTTTCCCACTGTTGCCTTGGATACACTGCTCTCTTTCCCCTCCCTCTCCTTTCCTTCTTTCCCCTCCCCCTCCCTCTCCCCTTTCCTCTCTCCCTCTCTCTCTCCCTCCCCCCCAGCCAGCTGAGGCCTCCCCTCACTGCCCAACACAGATGGGGAAGAGGCCAGGCCTGGGCCTTCTTCCTTTTGTGGGGACGCTCCTCCTGCCCTGCCCGCCCCCCACACCTTCTGCCTCCGCTTCCCAGTCCTCACCCAGGTACAACGGCTCCTCCTCGGTGCCAGGAAGGTGGGCAGGGGCTAGATTCATGGGCAGAGCCGCACAGGGAGGCAGCTCATATTTGTCCTCTTCCTCCTCCTCCTCCTGGGCCTTTGGGACGGAGTGTTGAGCGCAGGGCGGATGGAGGAAGTGCAGGAGTGGTGGCCCCTGCCGCCCCGGCCCCCCAGCCCCCAGCTCAGCAGCTGGACTTACCCTGGGTCCCTCGGTCCCCGGGGCGGGCGGAGGAGAGGGGCGGGGGACATCTGTCCTCCGAGCCGGAGAGTCTGGACGGGAGACCGATGAGAGCGCCCCATCTCCTTCCCGCCCACCCCTTTCCAGCACAATGACCCTCTCTCTTTCCCCAGCAGAATAAACCACCTGCAAGTCCACAGTGGCCTCAGCCTGCACTCAGCTCAAAGGCCCATTCAGGGGCCTCTTCCCAGCAGCAGGGCGGACGGCAGAGGCATTCTGGAAACAGGGCCGCCTCCCAGTAAGCAGCCGGTTGCCCTGGGCCAGGCCCCCACCCCAAGCATGCCTGCTCCTGACCAGGAGGTGGGGAGGCCGGGCCTGGTGCCTCAGCAGTGATGGACTGTGATGGCCACACAGGGGAGAGCCACTCAGAGAGACTCACAGCCCAAGGCACCCTGTTCTGCTGGGCCCCTTCGGCCCCCTGAGGCACTTACCTGCACATTTGGGGGGTGAAAGGGGTGTCTTCACCCTGTAATCAGACTGTGGTCAACTCTGCCCAAAGAGCCGGAACCGGTTTGGCTCAGTGGATAGAGCGTCGGCCTGCAGACTGAAAGGTCCCAGGTTCAATTCCGGTCAAGGGCATGTACCTTGGTTGCGGACACATCCGCAGTGGGGGGGGGGGTGCAAGAGGCAGCTGATGGATGATTCACTCTCATCGATGTTTCTAACTCTCTATCCCTCTCTCTTCCTCTCTGTGAAAAATCAATAAAAAATATTAAACAAAACAAAACAAAACAAAAAACTCTGCCCAAAGAGCCCTTGAGTTTTCATCAGCCAGACATCCACACCCATGCCAGTGCGGATGGAGCCCCTGGAGCTGAGTGCCGGCAGCTGGGGCAGGGCAGCGGGGTTAGCATCGGGAGAGAGCTATGCCCCGGGTACGTGGCTGGATGAGTTGGTGCCCAAGGGAAGCCAGTCAAGGGTGAGCCCTCGTGCTCACGGGGTGGAGGAGGTACAGGTGTGGTCGGACCGGTGGGTGGGGAGGGTCCAGGCATAGCCAGCGCACCTCCCAGACGGCTGTGCCCGGGACAGGGGTGGTGAGGCGGGGGCCAGAGGAGCAGAGGGAAAGGGGGCGCTGAGTACTCACCGGGGCTTGCTCTCCCTGAGCTTGTCCTAGAAAAAGGGGGACAAGAGGGTGGTCAGTGCAGCTGGACGCCCCTCCCTGGGACTGCCCCCAACCCAGTCTCACCATGGCCAAGGTGAAGAAGGAGCTGTGCTTCCCTCAAGCCCAGCTCAGGCACAAAGGTCCTGGGGACAGGGGCCTATTGTTCCCACATTTGCATCTCATAAGCACCTGGAAGGTGGGCCTGCCTGGCTTCCAACCCCAGACCAACTTCCCCCTGCCACTCCCAGGGCCCAGCCCAGCTCCCCTATCTGGCCTCCCCGAGCTGTGGTCTCCAGCCCCTCTGCTCCACTGGAGGCCAAACTCTCCCCTCCGAAGTATTTTAAAAAAATATATTTTATTGATTTTTTTACAGAGAGGAAGGGAGAAGGATAGAGAGTTAGAAACATCCATCAGCTGCCTCTTGTGCACCTCCTACTGGGGATGTGCCCACAATCAAGGTATATACCCTTGACCTGAATCGAACCTGGGACCTTTCAGTCCGCAGGCCGACGCTCTAACTCTGAGCCAAACTGGTTAGGGCCAAAAGTATTTTTTTTAAAAGAGAGAGAGAGAATCCTAGTCAGTTTTGCTCAGTGGATAGAGCGTCGACCTGCGAACTGAAAGGTCCCAGGTTCGATTCCAGTAAAGGGCACATGCTCAGATTGTGAGCTTGATCCCCAGTGGGGGACTTGTGGGAGGCAGCCTAACCATGATTCTCTCTCATCATGGATGTTTCTATCTCTCTCTCCCTCTTCTTTCCTCTCTGAAATCAACAAAAACATATTTTTAAAATAAAAGAGAGAGAGAGAGAGGGCCTGGAAAGTGAGGCCAGGCTTCTAAGGCTTCCTACAGCTCTCTGGTCCATTTCCCTCCTCCTGGAAGAGGCTCAAACTGCCCTGAGGTCAGCCAGACCAAGCCCTTTCCCAATTCACAGAAGACATGACATTAGTGGCAGATCCAATTAAAAACAGGAAACTGTCCTTGCAGACACTTTTTTTTTTTTTTAATGTTGTTGTTTTTTCAAATTGATTTGAGAGAGCGGAAGGGAGAGGGAGAAAGGGACAGAAACAGCAAAGATAAGAAAGATTCATCCACCGGCTGCCTCGGGCCTGGCCCCGACTGGGGAACGTGCAACCCTGGGCACGTGTCCTGACCGGATGGAACGGAACTGTGACCTCCCGGTTCATGGGTTGACCCTCCACTACTGAGCCGCACCGTGACGGCACAGACACTTTCCCTAAACCCTTTATCCCTGCTGTCATTCGCTGGTGATCAGTGATCAAGGAAACGGAGGTTAGTGAAAAGCTCAGAGCCACGCACGCCTATTAAATTTGACAGCTTCCTTTTCTGACGGATGTTATTTGTTCCTTCCGTGGGTATTTACCGAACATCCACTATATGCAGGCACTGTTCCAGGTGCTGAAGAGGCCTGGCAGGCAGGCATGACTTGTGCGTTTCCCCAGCTTCATGATGCAAGGACTAGTTTCATTCCCGCTTAGCAGATGAGGAAACTCAGGGTATGCGTCAGCTCAGGCGGCCGTTACAAAATGCCACAGACCTGGAGGGTTAAAATATTTCCTGTTCTGGAGGCGAGAAGTCCAAGATCAAGGTGTCATCGGGGCTGGTTTCTGGCGAGAGCTCTCCCTGGCTGGCAGGCAGCTTCTCGCTGTGTCCTCACATGGCCTTTCCTCTGAGCATCTCTGGTGTCACATCCTCTTATAAGGACAACAGTCCTATTGAATCACGCCTCCTCCCCATCACCTCGCTTGACCTTAAGCTCCTTCCTACAGGCCCTTATCTCCAAATGCAGTCACACCGGGGGGTGAGGGCACCAACGTGTGAATCTTGTGGGGATACCACTCAGTCCACAACCCTGAGAGGCTGAGGGGTTGAGTGTGGAACTTGGGTCTCAACCCAAAGTTTCCCAGCCCAGAGCCTGTGTACAAACAGCCGAGCCACCCTGTACCTCAATGAGCACTGGGTCCTGGCCCAACGTCTTACACACGAAAGTGCTTGCCGGCTCCTGGAAGGAGCCCGTGACTTCCGGGTGCTCTGTTAGCTGCGTGAATTGTAGAACTTTGACTTCTGAGAAGTGTTGGGGTGAAAAGTAGGGTTGGGCCTGGTGTGTGATTCTGTTTAAAGCAAGGAAGGAGGAAATACAGATGAGGATCATGAATGTACGACTTTTCCAGGAGAATTTTAACTTTCCTGTCTTTGTTGTTTTGGGAAGGCCCTGGCTGTTGGACAGAGGGGAAAGGAAGGCCATCTGCTTGCATCTTTGGAGGCCGTGATGCTGAGGGCCCTGGAGAGAGAGCACCAGGGCTGGCGCTGGCCAAGGCCGTCAGAGAGGAAGACGAGGCAGCTCCTGGGACCTGCAGGCAACAGGGCACTGAGATGGCGAACGGGAGCCGTTTGGTGCCGTGGGGAAAACTAAGGAAACAACAGCAAGGAAACGGCCCCGGCCTGGAGTTAGGGGTCTCCTCGCTGGCCTCTGCTCCCTGGCTGGCCTTGGTTCCACATCTGGACCATCAGGAAGGGGCCGCTGGCCCCACCCAAGGAAACCTCCTCTGGGACCAGAGTCAGCAAGTCCTGGTCAGCAGGAGGCTTTCCCAGTGCACGGCCTGGCCTTTGCCTGGGCCACACCTCCCGCTGTTCGGGGCTTTGCATAGGCAAATGCAGGGCCTGTGTGAGCAGAAGGGCCCCAGGCAGAGGATGGAATCCACGTCATCTCCACGGTCACTGGCCTGGTCGGGGCAGGGAGAAGGGAAAGGACGGAGGCCTGACTCACAGCACTGTGCCTGCAGGACTGCTGCTTGCTAATGGCACAGGCAGACCCGGGCGCCCTTTCTCCACCTTTGGCACAGGACTGCTTTGCCCACAACCGTAACTATTGCCTTGGGATGAATTTCTAGAAGGGGAATTTCTGGAAACACACTTTAAAGGTTTCAGTGCTGCCCTGTTCGGTTTGGCTCAGTGGATAGAGCGTCGACCTGTGGACTGAAGGGTCCCAGGTTCGATTCCGGTCAAAGACACATGCCTGGGTTGTGAGTTTGGTCCCCAGTGTGAAGCATACAGGTGGCAGCCAGCCGATGATTCCCTCTCATCATTGATGTTTCTCTCTCTCTCTCTCCCACTCCCTCTCCCTTCCTCTCTGAAATAAAAAAATATATATATATTAAAAAAAAAAAAAAAAAAAAAGGTTTCAGTGCTGCGCTGTCTGACAGCACGTGACCGCCTGGTGTAGGGTCCTTCGAAGCACGTTTTTCAGGTCTCAGGTACCAATCTCTACAGAGCACAGCCCGCCGTTTACAGGCCCAGCGTGGTCTTACGTGCCTTCTAAGGAAACGGCTATCCAGAGCAGTATTTCCCCATCAGCAGGATCACAGGAGTCATCGGGGAAGCTGTTAAAAGTCTCAGAGGCCTGAGATCTTCAGAACTGGATGCTGCGTGAGGGAATCAGGGGTCTCGATTATTTCTAACAAACTAGATCCACCTTGTGATTGGCCACGCTTGAGAAATGCTGCTCTGCAGGAGTCTGAGAGGACGTGTCCCCTGGGACCCTGAGACTCACTCACGTGCAGCCTTCAGCTCGCTGGGAACTGGGGAAGGAACGTGACACAGGCCCTGCTCCCCGGAGACCGCTGTGAGTGACGCAGAGGACAAACCCAGGAGACGTCCATCTCTCCGGCCTCCCATGTCCTCTCTGTCATGGAGGCATTAGTAAGGCGTTCCTCCTGGCCGGGGGTGGGGGTGGGTCTGACACCTCTTGAAGCACGCAGTGTGTGAGCGCAGCAAACACGGAGGTGGTGGTGCCCTGGTCGAGGCCCGTTGTCAGCAGACTGAGGAGGTGGTGCCCTCTAGCTGGGATGCCTGGTGTGGGCGAGCAGGAGGCCCTGTGAGGAGGGGGTGGTTTCTGAGGACCTGAAGGAGGACAGGTAAGCAGGCTGTAGCCAGAGGACTCCGAGGTGGGCGAGTGCCCAGGTGGAGCAGGAGCAGCTGAAGTGGAGGTGGCTGGACTGACT